CAATCGATATAGTTCTTTGCCTAAATCTGCAAATTTTTAGAAAGATTTGCAATTTATGTGTAAGACTGTTTATTCGTATAAAGAAAAACAAGTGATTTATTGCATTATCCAAAATGTTTGAACAAATACCAATATTTGTGTTTTTTAGAATCAATTTTTCAACTTGGCCGTTTATGGGGAGATAACTCTTATAGTAAAAATTTTATACTGGAATGATAGTGAAATTTTCAATTTTTACTTGCACCAAGAAAAACAAGTTAAGTGACACCATTTTTTCTTTTTATTTTCTTAAAGCATATTAAAAGTACTATCTTCTCATAATTTATTTCAAAATTCTATCTCATAGATTTCTTTTTATTCACAAAATGTGTTTTTTCATGAAGAATCTATAAAAATTTGGGCAATTTTGCACGACTGGCTGCTTTAAAAATAGCACGGTTACCCATACTTGTTGTTATATTTGTATATTATATTATGTTATATAAAAGCATAGTAAAATCTTCATTTTGGCAAGTATAAGAAAATTCTATCTGAGGAAATATATACCGATGATCCACCTCAGTAAATCCTCGACGTTCACATGTTTTGAGTGTTATGTTCATTTCCACATTTCCAATATTTAAATTTAGAATTTTCATCAATAAAAGGAACTGTGGGGTAAACATCAAAGACTTAAGAAACAGCAACCCAGCAAATCAAATAACCAAAAGAAAACCAGAAAGCAATATAGTCTTCAACAATAGATTGGTATCTTAGACTTTACTAATAAGTCCACGATAATGTTCCCAAAAAAAGTTCAAAAGACAGAAATCCCATTTACATTTGAAAGCTCTCGTCAATTATTATGTTTTCTCAAACAAATAGAACTTCTGTAGGGACAACAGTCGTCCTGAGAGAGACAAACCGGAAATAGAAAATTTCTAAACGTGATTAAAATGAGTGAAAAGGTTAGCATTTGATAAGAGTTATTTCCTTTCATATTTAGTATACAACTGGCCCGCTTAACAGCCGAAAATTGCTGAAATGAAGATGCAACTCAATCTGTTTATAGGCTGATGCATTAGCATATACATAATTTCAGCTTTATCAGAACTGGTCTAAAGGTTTGTGGACAAATGACGTATAACCGAGTTTGTTGGGCCAGAAGGACGTTGGAAGTTATACATTGCAGTACATGTACTTCATAAACCAAATATTATACAATAAAGCATACACAGGAAATTAAAGCAAATAAATATCGGTTTGTATTTCTTTACTAAAGCATTACATAGGAACTTAATTTGAATACAACACAACCCCTGTATTCACGCTTCGCTTATAAGGTTTTAAGCGAGACGTGAACACAGAATCTGTTTTCCAATCAGATTGTAGAAGAACTGATCTGGATCAATAAATATTGTGAGAAACGCACTAAACTTGAGTTCTTATACTACACATTCTAATGGTGAAGAAATAACACTGCACAAGGCCATGCATGCTTTTCTCACACTGTTTATTGTACGTCTTTGCATTAAATCCATTGACTGTGCACTGATTTGGTTTTAGTCTGAGAAAACATGGTTTATTTATAACTGGGAATTGGCTTTGAACTATAGCTCTCAGTAAATGCACGCAATCTGATGAGTCAAGCCTTTTCCAACTGGTCTTTATAGTTAGGTCTCTTGATATGTTGTTACATCATTATCCAAGGTAAAGAAGAGGGTTATGCGCAAACAATTTTATTCTGCCACAGTCTTTATCTGCCTGTTCCAAATCCGCAGCCATTAATTCAATGATAGTCGTTGGTTGCTGTCTGCCATATTTTGTTTTCGTTTATTGTTTCAAGTTTTAAATAGACCATTGGTTTTCTCTTTAATTGTTCCATATTTTGTCATGCCGGGGACTTTTATAGCTTACTATTCGGCATGGGTTTTGTTCATTGTTAAAGGCCGTGCGGCGGTGATCTATAGTTGTTTACATCATCGTGTGTTGGTCTGTTTTGGATCGTCTCATTGGCAAGCATACTACATCTATATATCTTTTTTATATTAGCTACTATGAAAGAGTATACGGGACCAATTGTTGCAGGATATTCCGACCTGTTTCGGACTGCAGCTCATTATTTTTTTAATTTAATGGAACCAGTAGTTTCAAAGTAAAAATCGAACGTTTCGAAATGACTTTCGGGAAACGGAAACTAAAACGGCATGATTCTATAAAATATCTTTGCTTACTGAGCACTTTGATAATGAGGTATTTTTATTTTTATATTATCATAAACCGATCTATACGTCTGTACACAAGAGTATTTCGATTGTAATTTAAGTGCAAGTTTATATGAGGTTTCGTTTTTGACAGTTCGTGTTCAAGTGGAAATATCTTACACGAAAGTTTAATTACAAACTGGACAAAATTGTCCGAAAGAGACATCAACCCGGAATTATGTTTAACAACCCATCAAAACTATATCAAGCAAGATTTTTGTCTATCAAATTAACACACTCAACAAATATTTACGAAACTAAAACAAACATTATGCTTGAAGTAAGATAGAAATGTCAACAATTTCTTTACAAATCTCCGGAACGTGTTATTTACTGAGATGACTTTAAACGTTTACCAGATTGCCCCTAGGACTGCTGCATCATGGGAGTAAAAAGGATGACACGGTATTTATTTAACGTCAAGAACGGATTAAGTTTTCAATAGCAAACAAGTTTTGTTTAGTTCATTATGTACTCTTAATCCGGACTCCTACCTAGTCGCACCAGATGAATTATCGCCCTTGGCTTAGTAATTAGAAACATAACACCAGTGTCGACGATGTCAATTCAAATGCGAAAATAAACGGAAGATAATACAGAGATATATTAGTGTTGTCTACAAAGAAAACTAAGAAGCAGATCAAAAAGTAAATACAGACGTGATCCCGTCGTTTCGTTACTATTTATAGGAAAAGAACGTTGGTGGGGTTTCTCAGTCTTTTCCTATCAAGATGTAGTGTTTTGTGGACTTTTGTTTGTATTTTCGTTGCTTTTCGACATGCTTTTGTCGGTTATTCTTTGACTTATGATTTTTGATTGTTCATTTGATGTTTTCTGGTTCTTTTTTTCTAACATTCTAACCTTCCATAATTTTTACATGTCACTAAATTATGTCTTGATTTTTTGTCAGCGCTAGAATCGTTTATCAGTGTGATTGAAAGATGCTATCCCTTCGATTCAAATTTATCGAGAAACCTTTCTACAGTTTTCAACATGAAGAACTTCATTTAAAGACTGATTTTTATTTAATGTGGACTAATTCCTTGTTAAACTGCTGTCTCCTACATATCCACCTTGTATCTAGTCTTTTCTAATTTTAAGTACAAGCTTCCCATTAGTCGATTTCATTAGAAAATATTATACGTTGTCAAGCTGTGTTAGACAACAAAAGGTAGCCAGCCAGCCCTCTGACCCATGATTTTACCAGGCAGTGTTAAAAGTAAGGATTCTTTTAATTCAGTATACCATGCTGACACGCTATTCGTTCCAACCGTGAATAAAACTACAAGACATCTGATGGTTAATCTTGATTATGATTTACAAAAACACCTGTCGATCACCCTTCATTAGCAACTTTTCTGGTCATTTAAGTATTTTGTTGTGAGAGCTTTTCTATTCTTGTCAAAGAATTAGTGATTCGTTTCGTTTCTATAGCTCCGTAATAATGAAAAGACCTGCAGGTAATCCCAAATCGATTACGATTGGAGAGCATCGATTTTCCGTACAAAACTGACACGTGCTTTTGTATACCTATTTTCAAGTGCCAATTAAAGTGTCTCACAAAGTGCTGAACAAATGCATGTTGTGAAGGGTTTATTGATATAAAATTATTTATTTAAAGCTGCAGTAATTTAAATCAGCACTTCAGTTGCTTGTGATGTTCATCTATAAATCATTAAAGACACCATACAAACTTTGTAAATAGAACCTTTTATCCCCTTTTGCACAATAAAAATCAAATAATTAGACACTCTGTACATAGAAGTTCAAAACAGTCTACAGCAATTTATTAATGAGCCTGTGAGATTGGAAGTTTTAGCTACAGTTTTACTGCAGAATAGGAGGAACTATCACATGACTTATGCACATGATAGTTAATGGTGATAAGGGAGATAACTCTTGTACAAACCCCTCCCAATTCGAATGCTTAAGTTATCGAGTTTTTTCTTCATACCATTTGTCTATAATCTCAAAGACAAATGGTATGAACAAAATCTTTAATAACTGACGTCATCGTATTGCATGGTCACGTTTAAAAATTGCCATAGGTCACCAGGTCACTTTTAAGCAAACTACTCAGTTCTAAACTGATCTTATTCTCGGTTGCAAACATTTTTAAGGTAACAGGTCTTCTTAAATGAGCCGTCAGGTCACACAGTCGTCCGCCAAACCCCTAAAGGTCGCAGTTCGGATTTGACCATTTTGGACCAACCTTATTGTTAACTCGCTTTCAAGGTAAATTTGGGCGAGTTTAAATTGTCCATTTTTTTCATTAACATCAAGTTCAACATTAATAAATGGGGAATGTGTCCATGGGACACAGATGATGTCCCCGCTTGCATATAATGTTATAAATGGACATAACTCAAGATCTGTAAAAGTGACACCACCAAAATTCAAACTTGATCTGTGTTTTGTGGTAATTAGCATTGTGTATAAGTTTTATATTATTTGGTTGAGGCAAACTAAAGTTTGAGAACGGAAACCAATTATTGGACGTACGTACAGACGGACAAGGGTAAAACTTAATGCCCCCTCCGCTACGACGGGGGCATAAAAAAGATTTCTCCGGCAGAGCATGCTAAAACAACTACAGATAAAGGACAATAAAGCTCGATAGAGGATCTGTCCAACAATTACCCACAACAGAGAATCATTCAACCTGAGAATATCAACGGGTGGTGAAAAGTACAATCGAACAACTTTCACCAGTGCTTTTGAACGCGGTGTAAAGATGCAAGCTTTAAATTGACTCACCTAAATTTTCTTCTATGGCATTCAGTCAGAATATCTGAAATAATAATAAAAAAACATATACAATAACAGTAATTTATTAAACACCATTAAACGCAAAATTATATTGACAAAGAGAGGAATAACGTTTCAATAAATTGTAAGACTGAAGTAAAGTAAGAAGTAATACAAATTCAGAATCTATTTTCAATATTTAAAAAAATTCTATTTCAAAAATATGCATATTAAATCAATACACTTACTATAACACATACAACCGCAGCTTTACCAAACATATATAGAGACGAAATACTAATAAGAAGAAAATTTTCTTGTCACAAATAAGACACCTGATTATTAAGTGGTGATCGGATTAGCAGGCTGGCTGACTATAACGCGCCATTATCTTGTTAAACGATGGTCGCTGGGACAGACGCCAATTAAGCTATATTTTTTCTTAAGATGAAAACTTGTCAATAAACTGTCTGTTAAAGAGAAGATCATGGTTTGTCATAGCATCAATACAGATTAATAAACATTTGAATCGATGTATAAATGACAAATAAGTATATATTTGGAATATAAAATCTACACAAGGAATAGGCATGTAATATTGTAAGAAGTTTCATGTACTAATCTCTTCTGAAGTATATGGGAAAGTTTGAAAACAAACAAGTCTTAGCCGTCTTTTGGAATACAATTGTCATTGGTGTAAGTGTGTGGTTGTTTGTTTCAATATCGCCTAGTTAAAAAAAAATCGACGACTTATGATTTTTTTTATATCTGCCACACCCATCCCCCCTCAAAACCCCGTGATATTGTTCTGTTTCCTGTCGATATAATCTAAATTGTGTATGCATACCATTAAACATTGTATGGACATTTGTGGTAAAGCAAGATTAATACATATGTAAACTGGTTTTTTTCCCTAAAAAATATAATTATTTTTTTTCAGTGCCAAGAGGCCTTAAATCGTAGAAACTCAGTCGAGACTAACTATGCTATTAAACATCAAGATGAAAAATCCTGTCAAAAGCCAACAACAAAATCATTAAGTCTTCAAATAATAGCATTCTGTGAAATTTTCTGACAGCTTTGTGACCGACAATAGCGCTTCAAAATCTCTCCACTTCAGCAAATTAACAGACAAATTTGGTCTGACATTTTATCCTGTCAGTTTGCGAGACAATGGACAGGAAAGCAGCCGACATGATAATGATGTGGACTACTCTTTAAAAATGGACGTGAAAAATGAAACTTAATTATCACAACCATTATTTTACAAATGATGATTACTGTCTATATTAGATGATGGCCAATTAAGAGTAATATATAATTTTATGCGATTATAACCGGAAATCTGAGAAGTGTCACGTTGGACAAATAGACCGGAAGTAGTAATCATTAAAATCCATTAGTAGAACTAATGTATTGTTTCGCATTCGGAAAGATATACATAATCGTCGAATGAGTATGAATACTTAACAATTAACACAAAAGTATTGTCTGTATATATCGACAGGAGTCTCTTAGTCACGTTGTTCTGTTTTAAAGTCAAGGACACGTAAGGAAAACGAGCAAAATCAAACAAATTTCGGCATTTACGTAGATAGAACATTTTACTTGAAATCATTAAGCTATCACATTATGTTAAGATCGTTTATGTGCAACAATTGGCACTGCTACAGGAGGGGTATTCTTAAACCTCATACTTACATGTGTCTTTGGGGTGGTGTAGGTAATTGCCCTGCTCATGTTTTTGTAATGCTTTATACTTTTACGACATAAGGTATAAATAGGCAAAGGAGAATATTTGTGTGCAAGTGAAAACTGATTTAACCCAAACTCATTGTGTGCCTGTACTAAGCCAGGTTATATTGACCTTGTTACAAAGGTCTGTACGATTATCTTTCACAGGAGTCAGGCTTCGGTGGTTAGTGTGGTCTATTGCATTCTTCATTATTTTGGGGTCATTCCTGTTATCCATTTTGTTAGAGTTAGAAAAAAAAACTGATTTCGGTTCAGAAGTCAAAGGTCACTTTGATATTTTATGTAATATATAAACGAATAAAAATAGAGGGTGAATATACCAAATAAGGGGATATTCAAAACTATTAATTCGAAGAAACGGACAACGCCATGGTAACAAACAGAAAACGACGAAATGACAAACAAGTCTACAAAACACTTTTGAATAAAATGCTCCGCTGGGCGCAGCTTGATACGACCGCAGAGGTCGAACCCTGAACAGTTGGGGCAAGTATGGACACAGCATTCAAGCTTGGTACAGCACTGAATTTGGATTGTGATTAAATATTTGACACAGCACAGGTTTCTGACACAGAATGAATTTGGTCTAAGAACTTAAAAATTTTTAATTTACCTATTCAAACCATATCATTATTATTTGCTTTTATATATAAATCAGAAATAACCAATTAAAATGGAAAATTTTAAAGAAAAAAAAATCCCCCCCAAAAATTTTTTTGAACCCCCTTATGATTCATCACCCCCAAACTCAATCACAGCCTTCCCTTTGTGGTATGGTACCTGCAGTACAATTTCAGAGAGATCCATACACATGAACACAAGTTATTGTCTGGAAACTAGAAAAATGCTTGTTTTTTGGCCCCTTTTTGGCCCCAAATTCCTAAACGTTTAGGGCAATCACCCCCAAACTCAAACCCAGCTTTCCCTTTGTGATATGGAACCTTGTAGTACAATTTCATAAAGATCCATACACTAACACACAAGTTATTGTCATGAAACTTGAAAAATGCTTGTTTTTTGCCCCTTTTTTGGCCCCTAATTCCTAAAATTTTGAGCAATTACCCCCAAAATCAATCCCAGCCTTCCCTTTGTGGTATGGTACCTTGCAGTACAATTTCAGAGAGATCCATACACTTGAACACAAGTTATTGTCTGGAAACAAGAAAAATGCTTATTTTTGGCCCCTTTTTGGCCCCTTATTCATAAACGTTTTGGGCAATTACCCCCAAACTCAATTCCAGCTTTCCCGTTGTGATATGGAACCTTGTAGTACAATGTAAGAAAGATCCATACACTTACACACGAGTTATTGTCATGAAACTAGAAAAATGCTTGTGTTTTGCCCCTTTTTTGGCCCCTTATTCCTAATATTTTGAGACAATTACCCCCAAAATCAATCCCAGCATTCCTTTGTGGTATGGTACCTTGCAGAACAATTTCAGAGAGATCCATACACTTGAACACAAGTTATTGTCTGGAAACTAGAAAAATGCTTATTTTTGGCCCCTTTTTGGCCCCTTATTTCTAAACGTTTTCGGCAATTACCCCCAAACTCAATTCCAGATTTCCCTTTGTGATATGGAACCTTGTAGTACAATGTAAGAAAGATCCATACACTTACACACAAGTTATTGTCATGAAACTAGAAAAATGCTTGTTTTTTGCCCCTTTTTTGCCCCTAATTCCTAATATTTTGAGGCAATTACCCCCAAAATCAATCCCAGCATTCCCTGTGTGAAATGGAACCTTGTGGTACAATGTCAGAGAGATCCATATACTAACACACAAGTTATGTCTGGAAGTTACAAAAATGCTTATTTTTGGCCCCTTTTTGGCCCCTAATTCCTTAACTGTTGGTACCATAACCCCCAAAATCAATCCCAACCTTCCTTTTGTGGTATTGAACCTTATGGTAAAATTTCATAGAGATCCATTCTCTCAAACTAAAGTTAGAGTGCGAAAACCAATGTGTCTCCGGACGACGACGACGACGACGACGACGCCAACGTCATACCAATATACGACCGCAAAAAAAATGTTTGCAGTCGTATAAAAACTAAGAGAAACTAACAACACGAACCCAACCAAAACAGGGGGTGATCTCAGGTGCTCCGGAAGGGTAAGGAGATAAAATCAGACACGGAGAGTACGCCGATATATAGACAGCAGCAAAATGAAAAAAAAAAACACACACAAAATAAACGACAATAAGAAATAAATGGGGAATGTGTCCATGGAACACAGATGATGCCCCCGCTTGCATATCATATAAAGTTATAAAGGGACATAACTGAAGAACGGTTAAAGTGACGCTACCCAAATTTGTTATTGATCTGAGTTTTGTAGTAATAAGTATTGTGTATAAGATTCATAAGATTTGGTTGATGCAAACTTAAGTTTGAGAACGGAAACAAAAAAAATCAGCAATTTTTCCTTTTGTAAAGGGGCACAACTCTAGAACGGTTAAAGTGACACCACCAAAATTCAAACTTGATCTGTATTTTTTGGTAATAAGCATTGTGTATAAGTTTCATAACATTTGGTTGAGGCAAACTAAAGTTAGAGAACGGAAACGAAAAATTCTACAATTTTTCAATTTGTAAAGGGGCATAACTGTACAACGGTTTAAGGGACGCCACCAAATTCAAACTTGATCTGTGTTTTGTGGTAATAATCATTGTGTACATGTATAAGTTTCATAACACTTGGTTGAGGCAAACTAAAGTTAGAGAACGGAAACCAACTTTGGGACGTACGGACGGACAAGGGTAAAACTTAATGCCCCCTCCGCTACGGCGGGGGCATTAAAAAAATCTCGAGGTCTGGTAAAGGCATGCTATCTATACATGAAGTGTCTGGATTAATTGATTGATTGATTGATTGCTGGTATTGCAAAACTCTTGGCTATTTCGTGGAGGCCATTTTTTATTTGTGTAGGAAGCCTTAAAAGTTTAAAGAAATGCCGATTCTGGTATATTAGATTTTTATTGAAAATAGTATCTAGCTTGTTCCCTCCGATGATAATTCTGGAAGCTTTTCTGTCTTAAAACAATTGAACAAAGTTCTGTCTCCCTTTTCATCATGTTAAATAAAGCATACATTTTTCATCAAATATTGTCAATATGCATGGTTATACAAATATTATTTGTTAAATTTCAAAAGGCTTTAGAACAGAGCGATTTACTTTGAAATATTTAAGCAACGATATATTTTTTTCATAGAGGTCAACATTTTCTGCAGCAAACAGATATTATTTTTATGGCGTTCAACATATGAAAAAAACCTACA